TCGTCAGAAGTGATTTTGAAATAGTTACTTGCGCTTGGGTGCAACAAATTAAAGAACTAGCTTTTGCAAGATAAATAAACTGAAAAATGAAATAACCTGTTAAAAACAATCATAAGCAACAAGTTTCCAGATTTGAGAGTACATCATTGGTTTCAAAAAACAAGCTGATTATAGGTTTCAGTCGATGCTCCTAACAGACAACTTCTTTCCCCGGAAAATTGCCTATATTTTAAAATACATCTCATATAGTCTAGGTTTGAAGCTGTCCATATCATGCTATAAATATCACATTTGATATTTGTTGAACATTGAAACTATACACAGAAGAAATTTTACATTTTTATCGTATAATGCCAAATTTATGGTAAAAAACAATATTATCTCTTATCTTGCTTGCTAGCTTCTCTCTGATTCAAATGTCAATTAGCTATGCAATCCACTCAGAAAGATCTTTATGAACAGATTTGAGGTTTGTATACACCCCAGTCAAGAACATCATTCATAGTAAACTTAGATTCTGCACCTATCTATTATATACTCCGTATATTATTCCAACATCATAACGACCCTTGATTCCAAGATTTGTTGAGGAATAAATAATATGGACCCTGGACATACTATATATAGCCTTCATGTAGTCTGTAGATATGTTCCTTCATATTGTTCTTTAATTTTACTACTAACTTTCTAGCAATGGAAGCATCAACAAAGTCTTGAAGGGATGTAAATGATGTTTTTCACCTTCCCTTCTTTTGGCATAACATAAATTTTTTCAAGAACACCTTGTATCCCATAGTCAGTCAACAATATTTCTTCCTATTGTTCTTCTCATATTTTTTTATTTAATGAGGCTAACTTTCTGCTCCATCTTCATCTCTCGCTTTGTAGGCTATCTAGAGTAGTTGAGCTATCCCAATTAGATTGAAGCAAGTGGGGATGATGTTCTTTACCTACAAAGCTGGTAGTAGACATTATTGATCCTTTTTGGAAGACCAAAGCATGTGTCAGTGATATATGTGGTTGAGCTATCCCATCAGTTATGCAAGCTAGATACCTTCCCACCCAAACCTGTCTTGGCTACTCATTCCACCTCCTAAAGATCATAGATCTATATAAACACATCTCAGTTGGTATTCACCCCACTCAACTCAAGGGATTCCTTCATTTAAAAATACACATTGTCTGCATTCAGAGGTTTTTTTCCAGCTTAACCTTGTCAATTAACACCTCCAGAAAAATTTGAAAATGGCAATCAGTATGGGGCACATCCTCCGTCCTAAGCTAGGACTCAGAAGGTCTTCTTCAAGATCAAACAGAGAAAGTGAGATTCCTAAGGGTCACTTTGCTGTGTATGTTGGCGAGAGCGAGAAGAAGCGTTTTGTCATTCCAATTTCATACCTGAAAGACCATTCTTTCCAAGAGTTGCTAAGTCAAGCTGAAGAAGAATTTGGATTCAATCATCCTATGGGTGGACTCACTCTACCTTTTCCTGAGGACACCTTCCTTGACATAATCTCTAGTACGAGACTATGAGTAGATATTGACAGACTACAGTACATATAGTTCTTTTATACAGTACACAGCTTATAATATAGTCAGTAGAACATTTTTTTGCAGAGGAAATTACTCGTGTACTGGTGTACAATGTCCTTTGTTATCCTATCAGATTGGGAAATATGAATACAATCAATACATACTCTTATATCCTTTTATTACTTGTCTTGTAACATTTCTGAGTGATAGGAAAGGAAGTCTAAAAGTTCCAGTTAATTTGAGATTAATAAATCCTTATTATTTTTTAATGATATAAGACAAAAAAATATGGCTAAACAAATTCCTAGCTATCTTCAAGTCTTGATCTGATTAGAGAACAAAGGAAATGCATTTAGTGTAAAGATTTTGCCTTGAATGCCAAATTGTGTGAACATACAATAGTATGTTCCTGCAATTAACGCTCACTAAGGGTTGTTAGTGAACCTCTAATTAAGAATATGTGAGCAGTAGAATATCTCATTAGATAGAGGCACTAAGATGTTTCAATGATATATTCTGTGTGCTAAGAGGAGAAAATTGTGTCGATAACAAAGAATTGATTATGGAAACAGCACATTGTATTTATGCTGCTGTTCTCATAAGTTATCTCATATTCTCATGTATCGGCATACTGTGGACCACTGAAAGTGTGCCCACAACATTGCTTACTAAACAAAAAGAACCATTCTTTGTGTACACTTTACATATACCTTGTGTGTGATCTTTACTAAAGAGAAAGGTAATCTTTATGCAATAGGTGTATGATATGTACTATAGTAACAAGAGCTATGTGTTAGCCATCACCCTATATAGGAATTCAAGATTTTAAAAATTGTATAAATGTCGAATTTGAGTCTACTACTGTCTGTAGAGAAAAAAGACTAAATTACTCCAGCTTTTTTTCTCACTCTCTATTAGGGATGGATCCGGGTTGATCCGGTCCCGGTTCCGGGCCGAGACCGCCCGGTCCAAAGACATTGATTCGGCCCAGGTTCGAACCGCTTTTTCCCGGGTCTGGGCAGGTACTGGGTACCAGACCGGTTCGGGTCTGATCCCGGACCCGGTTCCCGATATTTTTTTTTTGCCGAACCGAAGCCTAAAAAAACCGGGACCGAAAATGCCCGGTTCAATCCCCAAAATTGTGTACCGGGACCATGAGTCGCTCTAGGGCGGACCAGCCTGGTCTCAGGCCCAAAACCGCTCTATACAGACTCGGTCCAGTCCCAACCAGTGCCAAACCCGGTTCCAAATTTGGGTCCATCCATACTCTCTATCCAGGTATCCCAATTGGTAAGGTGGTGATTGGTGAGTTGGTGTATATGAGCGTCTAAAGATGCTTGTTAGATGGCAAAGTGTACTCTTACAAATTACTCTTGTATAAAAGGTAATTCTTTTACTCGATGTCATTCAATATAGTACTATTTGGTCATGAAAATTGAGATCATTTTTCATTTTTGAATATGGGACATATGTCTTTTTATTTGTCATTGCATAGTTTGATATGTTTATGTTTTGATTATTAGCTTCCACTTGATGTGAGATTTTTTTTATAGATTTATTTCATTTGACCTTCTAGGTAAAGTGTCCACTAAAAATCTAAAACATGCAAAAAAAATCATTCAACAACACTTATTTTACTTAATAAGATTATCTTCAAAAACTTAATCTAATGAAAAATTAATCAACCACACCAATCGTGTTATGCAACATGTTGTCACCGTCATCGGCTTCATTGAAGTCAGAATGTGACAAAGCTATATATTCTAAATTTCTTTCTTAAAGAAAGAGATCGAAGGACTAATTTGCTAAATTCTAAATACTAGAAGGGCTTATATCTTCCAAAAAAACTACACCCATTGTTACAAAAATGAGCATTTAGTCCTTAACAGTAAGCTACGGATGAAATCTAATGGATAAAAATAGATTTTGAGCAATTTTTTATTATTTTTATAAAGATGATTGAAAAGACTAATTTCATTTGGATGCAATTGAGGATGTAAAAAATGGCTCTTTCGATTGCAAAATACAAACTAAGAATATGCTTAGATATTTATTTCAAAAATAAGACATACTCAATAAATAAAATATGCATATTCAATCAATGTTATAATTGATTAAATAAGTGATTTTCCGTTAGTTTTAATAACTCATGCATATACCAATGCACATACACATATTGGTAAATGGTAAAGCTAATAAAGTAAAATCATTTTGTCCCATGCATGACACGGGTAAAGATACTAGTATATATATTGATGATCAAATGAGAATCATGTTTAACATGAGAACTTCACTTCATAATAAATGTTGATGAAATATTTACGAACCTGTCAGCACATTTATTTGATGTTGGCACATTTTGACCAAAGACTAAAAAGCGTAAAAAAAATGAGCCTATACCCTATAGTGCACCAAGTTGTACTCCCTCCGCCCCTATTTGATGTTGGCACATTTGGACCAAAGTCTAAAAAGCGTAAAAAAAATGAGCCTATAGTGCACCAAGTTGTACTCCCCCCCCCCCCCTATTATTGGAGCGGAAGAGAGTGGTGTGTTTTTTTTAAATAGATCTATATGGTTAATAATGAGTTGATAAAGTAGAAATAAAGTAAGAATAAATTAGAGTCACACAAATGTTATCAAATATAGTATGAGACAATAATAGAGGGATATCCAAAAATAGAAAAATGAGAAAGTATAGGGGGCGAAAGGAATATTAAAAAGTGCATGTTATGACGTTCTCACATTAAGTCATTAAACATGATTCTCACGCCAAAACCATTCCATATATATACACACATTAGTATTAATAACTAAAACCTACATATGTAGAGAGTGGAGACTGTTGTATGTTGATCTGGATCACAAAAAAAAACAAATCTAAATGTGACTATAGATTATTATATAAATTAAAAATGAAAAGAGACTTAAGCTCAATTACCTTTAGGGAAGGACTAAACCGGGCCAGCCCGGACCGGTTGGCCAGTTCCGGGCTTTTAGCCCGTTTGGGCGGGTCGGGCAGGCCAAGCTCGGGCCCAGTTTTGGGCGAACCGGCCCGGGCGGTTCAGGCCGAGCCCGGGTCATTTTTTTTCAATTTTTTTTCTTTTCCTAGGGTAGGGCTGGGTGTTTTGGGGAGGTTTGGAGGTGGGGGTGAGGGGGATAACAAGAAAGCAAAAAAAAAAATAGACATTGAACCAGGCCCGGTCCAGTTAGGCCCGGACCCGGTATCAACCCGGGCCGGTTCCGGGCCCAAGGATTTGCAAAAAAAGCCCGCCCGGGCCCGGCCCGGAACCGGACTGGCCCGGGTCCATCCCTAATTACCTTACTTTGAGAATTTAACTCCATTTTGTTTACGTAGTATAAGTTAAATTTTAGAATATCAAGAGTCAAGACATTGTATTACTGGCCTCACAGTACAATCTCAAAATATGAACTTTTTTATAATATTTGCCAATAACCAACTAACACGACGGAAAATAAAATTGTTGCAATTTTATATGAACGGAGAAAGTACATTCAAACCTCAAAATGATTAATAAAATTGATCAATGATAATGGCTTCATAAGTGCAAGTTAAACTGCAAAGAATGAAGGAAACACAGTTTCGTTCCTAACATATTTTCTTACAGCAAGCAATCAAGAAACATCAAATCGAGACAACTCAAATGTAACATAAGATTGGCCATGAAAACAGTAAGTAATATACAAAAGTCTCCAAATGTGCGCAAACTAGACCAGAGAAAAACTGATGATGTGCCCAGGCTGTAGGCTAATCCATCAAATGATCAAAAAAGAGAAGAAACGCTTCGTAGTCAAGTGTCGGCTTTTCTGTTCAAACAAGTGAGAAATGACAAATGGGACCTCTAAAATCGGATCAAGTGTTACCATCTAAACAAACATTGCATTAAGAGGTACTCTGCTATTGCTGTTTCGCAATGTCATACTGCACACATGCATCTGCTGCCGTCTTTATCTGAAACATGCCACAAATTCATTTAGCATTTAAGTTGGTGAAATAGCAATATGCTCAAGGAATAAAATTATTTCGCGTGTATCAAATTACATCAGTTAAATTACTTAGTGCTGGTTAGATAACACAATTGCTTGACTCAACACCTTCTTCATAACACAATTTTAATTCATGTCAACAAATCAAACAATCTCAGCAAAATTTGCTTCACCAACAAATGGACTAAAAAAACTAGAGCACTACTTTTTCCTGAAATAATCTAATGAAGAGAAATGAAACTTATTACCCACATACTTAGATAAGAACAAATTCTTAAGAGTCGCAATCTCATCAAATCTAGTCATTTCAAAGTGCTTTAATCCAATCCTACCCACATGAACGAGCAATTGCTTTCATCCCATTCTCCTGTGTCTAATTGTGAAGTTGCATCATTTTAGAATAGATATTCAAATACCTTGTTGATTAAAACAACAAACTAACAGCTTTCTCTTCCAATATTTTATTTTCTCGTACATGCTATCAAATAACAATTATCTGTTTGCATGAGTGTTGTGATGGAAGGGAGGGGAAGTAGGGTGTTATGTGTTTGGTTGGAGGGTGGGGTGAAGGAGCTACGGACTCCAATTTGGGGTGTTCAGGAGGACATATATTTTTTCTTTTAAAAGCTCAAATTTTCTTCAAGAACATTCTCCATTAAAAATGTTATACATAAAGGTTATTATGTTTTTAATCACCGCAAAATTATATCAAATACTCCGTATAATAAAATTGAACATTTAAAAAACATTGCAATTTTGAGGTATCATGATTCATGGAGCAAGATATACCCCTCCCCACCCACATAAATGGCGCACTTTAGAATCTGTGCTGCAGATCAAGAAGGTGAACCACTGCAGCAATATTGAGGCTGTATTATTACTATGAATCATTGACACAAACGCACACCATGTGTGCTGTGGCAATAAGGGTTCTTGAATACCTGTATAAAATTGACGAATTGCTTAGTTGCCCAACCAAAGAGAAGCAAGGAAAGCAGTGAAAAGTAGAGCCAGCTTTTCATTGCAGAATTGATAAGAACCTAGAGAGAAACAGGGCCAATAAGAATAACAAAGTGGAAAATTCTGTGTTTCATTAGACAACAAGACCAGTATAAAGAAAGAGAAAACGATATTACATATGTCCAAAAATAAGTAATTGTATTATTGCTCAAGTTACAACTTTTAACATAATTGAGGTCCAACTGTCAATTAGGCCTACAACTTTTAAAGTTTATTTATTGATTTTATATAAATTTATACTTCCTCTGCCGCACTAATTTTTTTCAACATGCCAAGAACTGACATTTCCTTTTCACGTAACAAATTTGTAGTTAACCTCAACCACACGTCCACACTCATTTTACTTTCTTAGTCCACATGAAAGTTGATTTTGGCCAACTTTTATGGGACGAATGGAGCACAACACACATGTAACTTATTAACAGGTTTTAGGGCAATTTACTAGAAAAGATAGCTTTATTTGTCAAACGTTGCTTGTCCAGGGGGAAAATGTAAAAGGACTATTACTTTTTTTAATTGGGGTGGGGGTGGGAGGAGTAGCATAAAGCAATTTTGTGGCTCACATCGTTCAAACTTTCAGTTTGGTTCTCTGCCAAAAGAAATAAGAGGATGTAAAGAACCTACAAATAAAATACAAAGAAATCAGTGCAGTAGTTGAAAGAAACATTCACTTGCACAAACTTTCATGGTATATGTCATAGAAATGCATTCACCTCACAGGATATACAACAATAAGCCATAAACTTTCTATTCCCGTAATAAGTCCTGAATAGCCAACTACTGCTGTCCTTCACATCTTTATGGCTTGTTTTCCCAGCCAAGAAGGAACTACAGTGGAAAAAGTCAATGGTAACAAATTTTAGCACCATGTTTTCAGGATTCAGGAACTCCCATCCCCCAATAAGAAAGACTCATGGTTGCAATACAAACAAGGAAAATTATCTTTCTTTTTGGCGGAACCCGTAGAGGAAGTTATAGGTTTGTAAATTGCAATGGAAATTATTTGGATTGGATATATTTACCTATACATTTGCAACCAGTGGCTTCCAATATCTAAAGCGAGCAAAGACAAGAAAATCAAGCCAGGCCTGAAGAATCTCAGTCAGAAAAAAAATGATGCATGCATAGAAGCAGTAGTAAGTAAGAAGAATCTGTTATAGTAATTGCTCAAAGAAATCACCTATAAACTTGTGAAAGAATCACGAGGAGGCAAGCAGTGCTGATCCTAAAAGAATACGAGGATAAGCAACCAAAAATGGAAATAAGATAAAGAAATCAAAATACGGTTAATAAATGTCAAATAGGATTAAAACAGGAGTCATGTAGATGAAAAGGACCATTTTCCCCTCTTTTTGTGTCAAAAATAGGGTTCAATGTGATCTAAAGAGGAAAAGTAGTACTAATTATTTTTCTAGGGGTAAATGAGTTCTATTTTTAGGAAAATAGTCCTATTTAAAGAAATTGTATATTTTTAGCCCTCTTAATGAATTTTTCTCAATCAAAGTTACAATGATATAAATATTAAATAGACGATTGAAAAAGACTAATGAGTTTTAGAGGCGAACCTATCTGTCACCATGTCCAGAACAGCTCCAAATGTTGAAACTGAACAAAGAAAGATAGTATCAAAATCTAAAAGATGACAGCAAGGATATGACAGCAATTCTGATAACTGGAAATTTAACCTTTTTAAAGAGTTTCAAGCAGATAAGAATCAAAAGAAACCCATTTACCTTTCACGGTTTCACCCCTCCTTATATGCAATATAAAAGACATTAAGGAAGTAGCCATAATTGCATGCACTTGAGAAGAAAATGACAGCTATTCGTATTAATAAGTTTGCAGTTCATTTTATTCCTACAAGAAGCGCTATCAGAACTGGGACAAAGAAAATGTCCAAAGATGGATCAAATTGATATGATAATTGTAAGTGAACAAAGCAAATCATGAAAACACCGATCATGTGTGAAACAAGGCAAAGGCACAAGTGGCACCCAGTGTTCGTAATTGTGCAATGCCTTTAAGCCTTAGCCCCTCAGTGAAATTCAGGGCAATTACACACTAGGGCAACTCCCAAATTAAAAAAGTATTCCTCAACCCAAAAGTAACAAGACGCACACAATTGCTTTTCCAGGGTTTAAGTAAATCAATTATGCCCACCTTAAAAGTTACTCATTTTTCTTTTGAACATCTCTTGAATATTTACTTCTCTTCTTCGACAATCATCTTTCTTTGTGAGTCTTCTACGACCTCTTCTCAACTCTTCATTCTCTTTTATCTAGTTCTTGTCTCTAAGGTGCTCTTTTAATTATTTATTTTCCCATTTATTTATATTTTAATATTTCCATCATTTCCAATGGAGCCAAAGACTCACTATTCTTTGGCTTGGGAATATGATGGAGCAACAGTCACTCCATGCAATTTTTTATGCGATTTTCATCATGGGTCATCCAGAAGCAGTCTCTTTGTGCTTTAATACAAGGGTAAGGCTGCGTACATCCAACCCCCTTCCCCCCAGCGTACGTGGGAGCCTAAGCGGCACCAAGGTAATGCTGTTGTTGTTGCTGTATTTATATTTTAGTTATTTATATTTTGTTTAATGTTAGTATGATATGCACATGGTGTGATCGTGTGAATTCACTTATCTTCTACAAATTGTCTTTTTCTACTTAATAATGGATGTTGATGATGAAGGTGATGGTAATATTGATAATGGACATGATGCCAGTTCTATTTTTCAAATCACTAGATATTGATGACCTTATTTTTCATTCCTTAATCTAATAAACTTTAATTTTTAAGAGGATTAGGCAATATTTGCTACCATGTGATGTTTGATGGGTTAAGACCATTTTTTTTATTTTGACTACAAATTTGATAAATTTTAATGATTGTTTTAATATATTATTTAATGAAATTTAATATTATTTGTGAAGTTATATATAAATTAGTATTATGAACTGTGGTTTATGCCTCATTACGCAATGAGGCTTATGCAATCCCACAACCAACTCAACTAAGCAAAACACAAACCGCCACTGGCACCTCCTGACTATTGGGGACAAAATGAATGAAAGTCAATGAAGAAAACCTCCTGGAATTTTTGTTCTTTGAAAAATGGAAAAGAGGATTTCAATGGATGGCCTCACTAAAGTTACTATTGATTCATGTTCCTGGCCCCATTTTGTTGGGATTAAGACTTGGTCGTTACAGTTGTATAAGTTATGCCCAATTTAATCATCAGAAAGACAAGTAGGGAACACATCAAATTTCTAGGCATTCTGTGGTTAGAAAAGGCAAAATAAAATGTAGTAAGGGTTTAGAAAAGCTAGTATAGTGTGATAATGTTATGACTTTCATTGTTCATCAATCCAGGAATAATAGAATATTGAGTTCACTGACTCAAAGTTCTGGAAGATTGAGTTTGAAAGCCGATTGACAACTAACTATGCAACCTGTCCCAAGAAACTGAGGAAAAGGTGTAAATGCATACCTTGGTTGAATTTCCTAGCAAACCAACCATCCAAAGCATCACATACAAAGCTGAAATTGCATGTTCCTTCATTTGTTAATCCCACTATATCTAATCTGGAGTATATGGATATATTCTTGTCATGCAAATAAGAGGAGATAGGACTTACCTAACAAAATATAAGATTGAGAAAAGCCTTTTGTTGGTGAAGCATATTGCAAAAGCACAACAGTTCATTAAAATTCTCATGTAACCTGTACATGAGAACATTCCGGCATAGTAAATATAAGAGTCTAATGTATCACACTTAGTTACTTAAGCACATCTGCATTAATTTCACTACACAGGAGCACCAAGTACAAAAGAAAAACAAGAATCAAATGTCCAACAGATTTGTCAAAGTTCCCGTTTCGCAGCACATTTTACTTTCCTTATAACCCATGTATGTAAACCACATCTAGCCAAACACTTATATGAATGCAGTTTCAGAATGTGCCTAAAATAATAAAAAGATAGGGAAAGCTGTTTCTTTCGCAGAAATGACTCAAATTACACCTTGACACTCATCAGTTATATACTACGTATAATATATGTATATCATTCAATTTGTTAAAACCACATGTCTAATACTGTAATACATTTCTACATAATCAGCTCATTCAACAAATTCAGTCCCAATCCATCCAATTTCGCCACCCTCTGTAAAAGTTTAGCCTCACCAAACGGTTATTAGAGAATAGAGAATGAACTAGATATATTTGATTCTTTACAGACCCAGCAGATTCTAATTGTCCAAATAGAGTTTTTATGTATTTTATAAATCTATTCAAACAATCTGTACAAGCAATCAAACATCCACAAATGTACTTCACACATTGGTCATTTCATCCAGTAAACTTAGTCTACTTTCGAAAGCAATCAGTAGTTTAGAAACTCACCAATAATGTTGGGAATGTAGAGGTACACAGTTGCTGGTTTGAGCCTTGAAGCCTTAGCCATTGACACACACTTTCACTTCAAAAACAGGTTTAATCAGAAAACCAAGCAATCAATAAACCCACGAAAGTAAATCAATGCATAAACAAAACCAGACATATCCATTTGAATCATTAATCGTGCTTGTCGAGATGGACAAAAAATAAGGATACATATATTTAAATTGGACCTGATGAGCGTTCGTCCGGCAAGGAGTTGCAGAAATCCTGGAAATTGGTGCAAAGGGAATTCCTTAACTAGGAAAAGATGATATTATTTTGTTTACGTGCTCAAATGACTCATGGGTAGGAGTGGTTCAGAATGGTATACTGAACTATTGATACCATACTGATTAAGGTAAATATACCAGGTAATAAAAATCATTCTAAACTAACATTCTAAATTCGTAATAAATAATGACCTAATTTACAAAACTAACATTCTCAATTAAAAATTGCTTAACCAATTCAGATGCTAAATTCCAAACAAAAATAATCAAATAATCCCAATTCACAAAATAAACCATTAAAACCATAAAATAGAAGAAGATAAAATACAAGAATATAAGAACGTAATCATGTCAAACTCAAAAAAAAAGGCTAAGTGACTAACCTTTATAGCCCTTCGTTGCTCTGTCTGACGTAGTGGTCGCACATTCGTAGAACGAGTAGCCCGGTAGAAGCCTTCAGCCTTCGGCCCTTTTCCCTTCGCCGTTCCGCCCTTCGCTGAATCGCTGCAGCTGTATAGCGCTGCTTCCTTCGCCGCGTCAATGATTTCAGTCGACAGTCGCTGCCCAAGGACCCCAAGCTAAGACTAGGCTGAGATATCCTTACTATTTTGATTGGTGTATTCTTACGATTTAATTAAGCAAATTGGCGTCTATTAGGAAATTGAGGAAAATTAAAACAGGTTGGAGAGGAAATACTCCTATAGTACAAATGTGCAATGCATATAATACCTCTCAATTTAACAAATAACCCCAAGATGACATATTGCAATCTTGTGTACAACTTCTTCTAGATTTTTGGAGGACATTGATATTATAAATAAATAAATGAGCACGACTGTTACGGGAATTGATTTATTGGATGTCAATTATTTTTTCTTTCTCAATATTTTGTTGTATTTCTCGGTACACTCTCGACCTACTTCATAAAGAGCAATATGTTCTGCATGATTCGATGATGTTACAACTCATGTTTGTTTATTGATCTTCATGAGATAGGGGAAATTTTATAAAGACATACTTCATCCATCCTTAAAACTTTGTCATCTTTTCTTTTTGGAACGTCATAAAAAACTTTCTCATTTTCCTTTTTAATCAATTATTTTGTGATTTCTGTTATTTCTCTCTTCTCTGCACAAACATCAACCACACAGTTTTTACTTTATTATTCTTCGTGATTGTCAACTTTGACAAAGTTTTAAGAGACGGAGGTAGTATATGACTCAACCATGGAATCATATATCATGTGTGGCATCATCACAATCACTTTTTTCTAAAAGTGTAATTATAATGGAGGATCCCACTATATAAATGAGTGGGTATGGTGATGACACACATGACATGTGACTCCATAGTGGAGTCATATATCTCTTTCTAGAAATTTTCTCAAGAGATAGTGGTACTATGGATGGAACCGGGCCGGGCCGGTTCCGGGGCGGGCCCGGGCGGACTTTTTTTGCAATTCCTTGGGCCCGGAATCGGCCCGGGTTGCTACCGGGTCCGGGCCGGGCCGGCCCGGTTCAATACTTATTTTTTTTTTGCTTTCTTGTTATCCCCCGACCCCACCCCCTCACCCCCACCCCCAAACCTCCCCAAAACACTCAGCCCAACCCTAGGAAAAGAAAAAAAATGAAAAAACAAAAAAAAATTGACCTGGGCCCGGGCCGAACCGCCCGGGCCGATTCACCCAAAACTGGGCCCGAGCCCGGCCTGCCCGACCCGCCCACACGGGCTAAAAGCCCGGAACCGGCCAACCGGGCCCGGCCCGGTCCGGGCCCGCACAGTAGCGGGCCGGTCCGGTTCCGGTCCGGTTCCGGGCCGGTTCGGCCCGACCCAGTCCATCCCTAAGTGATACCATCCAAGTGATTAAATATCATGTTTTTTTTAAATCACCGAAGTGATTAAATATCATGCTTTTTATTTTTTTTATTTTGTGGATCATAAAAGTACTACAGAGTACTAGATATCTGATGTTTTTCCAAACAAGCATGTCAAAATTAAAGTTTTTCTAAATCTGACATTTTTTAGTATAAACTTTTACACATAAACAACAGAAAAAATTCCACTTTTGGTCCCATAACTATTATACCACTTTCGCATTTAGTCCCTTACTTTCAGATTGTCCACATTTAGTCCGTAATCATTATCCAATCACCACCCCTCGTCCTTCCGGCCAAAATTTCGGTAAATTTAGTTCACTTCTCAGCCTTAGAATCATTCTTTGCATTAAATTTTGTATGAGGTTGGGTTTTTCATATCAGTCTTTGCATTAAATTTGGTTTTTCATACCTAAAATCTGCATTAAATTTGACGGAATTTTGGCCGGAAGGATGAGGGGTGGTGAGGGGATAATGGTCACGAACTAAATGTGGACAATCTGAAAGTAAGAGACTAAATGTGGAAGTGGTATAATAGTCATGGAAATAAAAGTGGAATTTTTTCTAAACAATAAGAAGCGCGCGTAGCAGTCGCATATGTCATCCATCATCTTGATGAATTTAAATTGAGTGTATTTCTCAATATTTTAAATGAGCAGGACTGTTACGGGAATTGATTTATTGGATGTCAATTGTTTTTTCTTTCTCAATATTTTGTTGTATTTCTCAATACACTCTCGACCTGCTTCATAAAGAGCAATATGTTCTGCATGATTCGATGATGTTACAACTCATGTTTGTTTTATTGATCTTCATGAGATAGGGGAAATTTTATAAAGACATACTTCATTCATCCTTAAAACTTTGTCATCTTTTCTTTTTGGAACGTCATAAAAAACTTTCTCATTTTCCTTTTTAATCAATTATTTTGTGATTTCTGTTATTTCTCTCTTCTCTGCACAAACATCAACCACACAGTTTTTACTTTATTATTCTCCGTGATTGTCAACTTTGACAAAGTTTTAAGAGACGGAGGTAGTATATGACTCAACTATGGAATCATATATCATGTGTGGCATCATCACAATCACTTTTTTCTAAAAGTGTAATTATAATGGAGGATCACACTATATAAATGAGTGGGTATGGTGATGACACACATGACATGTGACTCCATAGTGAAGTCATATATCTCTTTCTGAAATTTTCTCAAGAGATAGTGGTACCATCAAAGTGATTAAATATCATGTTTTTTTAAATCACCTAAGTGATTATCATGGTTTTTATTTTTTTCTTTTGTGGATCATAAAAGCATTTGCATAGCCAACTAATGTGTCATTTACATTATTCTTTCAATACTCTCCAAGATTAATAAGAGTGTAATTTTGTTCATCCCTTCTTGGAGGGTGAACATCAACCCCTTTGCTCAATTGTTGCCATTTGACATTCAATTTCCTTTTTATATTTAAATTACAATAACTTTTTTATTTGTTGTCCAAATTTTATAAAAAAAATATATCAGATTTAGTAATTTTTTAAGATATTTCAATGATATCAATATTGTATATAAAAAAAATAAAAAGTTCCTAAATATTCATTTTTAGCTGGATTTTTTTAATTTGTTTTTTATATGCAATATTGGTGCCATATGAAATATCGTAAAAAAATAAAAAAAAATTGATATAATTTTCAAAATAATTGGATTAAAAATAAGAAGTTAAAACAATTGCAATACTATAACTAATTGTCTTGCCACCCGGCAAGCAAATAGGATGGGTGATGTTCACCCTCTTTTGAGAGGGTGAACAAAATTGATTTCAATTGATTGTACCACTATCCACTGTGATAGCAGGATAAATAACAACATTATAATCATGAATAGGAGTTAATGCTCTTGATCTGTGTCAATACATTTGTGCATGAGAGGTTGCACAATGTTCTTAAAAAAATAGAACCTTGTTTGTATGTCGGTCAACGTTTTTACTCCGTCAACTCAACCTCTAAAGCCTATAGTCTTACATCGCCCTCCCTCGTTGGTTAGATTAGATCAACAAAAGAAAGTGTCATTTAAGATATGAGACATGTAGAACCCATTTGGTGACTCTGATTTTCGCCTTATGAGACTTATGATTCAACAATTTAATCAAACACGTAACTTTTGATTTTGTGCGTTGAATTGTGTAATAATGATAAAAAGTGAGATTGAAGTTACTTATGTGCTTGTATTGGCTTGAAGTTACTATAGATGACTATTTTAACTATTTTCCATATTTTTTATTTTAATTTATTGATAAAGTGAAAATCGTCATATATGTCCTCGTACTATGACTAAAACGTCAATTAAATTCAGGTACTTTTCATTCACACCATCAGCACCCCAAACTATCAAAAATACCCAATCTTGCATTTTAACCGATTACCAGCCGGTTGAAATTACATGGTTTGTGTCACAAGTTACAACTATCAATTGATTCAAGGTAATTGGTAGACTTTATGGAAAGACAGAAGTGGTTAGGATATCCCCATGTGTTCAAGACCTAGTTAGCTTTTTCCGTTTTAAACGCATTGCTTATCGTTTTTTTGAACAAAAAACACGTTGAAAACGAAAAATAATGTCGATCCGTTTAAAAAGGAAAAAAAACTCTTACTTCCCATATAAAACGTATTTTTCTCGTATTTTACTAAAAATAGAAACATCAATTGATCAATTGAATGAACGCATTAAATGCATGTGAGATCAACAATAGTGTAAAATCAAAAAAAGAAAGCTCCTCTTCGTGATCCCATATTTTTGTATTGTTACAATACAATTATTAAGTACTAAAATTAAAAACATGAATTGATGAATTGAATGAACACATTAAATGAATATACAGGGGATCAACAATAATTCAAAAGAAAAAAAAGAAAAGTTTCTCCATGTCACCTCATGTTTTTGTGTTGCTAAATACAATTATTAAATACTAAAATTAATTGCATGGCGACTGAAGCTAACATTCTTAAAGATTAAAACTTAAAATACTACAGAGTACTAGATATCTGATGTTTTTCCAAACAAGCATGTCAAAATTAAAGTTTTTCTAAATCTGACATTTATTAGTATAAACTTTTACACATAAACAATAGAAAAAATTCCACTTTTGGTCCCATAACTATTATACCACTTCCACATTTAGTCCCTTACTTTCAGATTGTACACATTTAGTCCGTAACCATTATCCCCTCACCACCCCTCGTTCTTCCGGCCAAAATTCCGGTAAATTTAGTCCACTTCTCAGTCTTAGAATCATTCTTTGCATTAAATTTTGTATCAGGTTGGGTTTTTCATATCAGTTTTTGCATTAAATTTGGTTTTTCATACCTGAAATCTGCATTAAATTTGATGGAATTTTGGCCGGAAGGATGAGAGGTGGTGAAGGGATAATGGTCACGGACTAAATGTGGACAATCTGAAAGTAAGGGACTAAATGTGGAAGTGGTATAATAGTCATGTGAATAAAAGTGGATTTTTTTCTAAACAATAAGAAGCGCGCGTAGCAGTTGCATATGTCATCCATCATCTTGATGAATTTAAATTGAGTGTATTTGATGATCATATAAAGATAATCATTTTAACTTAGTCTCAATCTATTTTTTATGTCTTATTTGTTGACATTAGTTTACAAAATCATGTCTTGGGCTTAATTACTATTTTTATTTTTGTCATCGACTTATTCAATTATGAATTATTATTTTATGTAGTAATGAGGTTTGTTACTTGAATATATGTATATTTTTATTTCTTTTTACTATATATGTTATTTTGTGAAGTATATAATTTAAATGTTCAAAATAGTACCCATATTTTTTGTCCGAATTTTTGTAACATATACCGTATTATACACGTATACGTATTTACACGTTTTTTAAAAGTCAACGTTTTTTGTAACAATGTTTGACCGTTTTTTCATTAAAGTTACCGAATAAAACGCGTACATATTAAACTTCGTTTAATTCCCGTACCGTATTTAAGGGTTCAAGATTCAATGAATCATGTGGGGAGTGATGTTTAAAGAAGACCATTTAATTGTACTAACTGATATAGGATACCCCCATTTGTTGACGACTCTAATCCTGGAAGGCCAACAATCACCCTCACCAGTTTCTTTATAGCTAAGAGAGAAACATTCAACCAATGGCAGTCAGTATGGCGAAAATTCTGCGTGGTACTAAGCCAAGCCTCAGGAAGTCTTCTTCAAGAACATACAGAGAAAGTGAGGCTCTTAAGGGTCACTTTGCAGTTTATGTTGGTGAAGGTGAAAAGAAGCGTTTTGTCCTTCCGATATCATACTTGAATGATTCGACATTCCGAGACTTGCTTAGTCAGGCTGAGGAAGAATTCGGATTTGATCATCCTATGGGAGGACTCACAATACCTTGTCCAGAAGCAACTTTCCTTGAGATCATCTCTAGCTCGAGATGATCTATCATCTTTATAGAGTACATACAGGAAATAGTTTAGTTTAGATTAGTGAACAAGTTTCTTCCGTAGACATTTTTCATGTACAAATCATTTATAGAATTCACTATAACTTCATACTGATGGAAAAAGTGTGTTAAAAGTGTATTAAATGGTCATTTTGGGACAATTATTTGAGTGAGGTCCACTTCCGATTTGGGTCGGGTCAAAGTGGTTTCGGATTGTCCTTGCTAAGGGCTACAATTCGATATATGGTACACTTAAAATGGATAACGGGTGAGTGAGAAATTGTTTTTCGAAGTTTACCCGTTGGAATGGAGAAAACTAGGAAAATGTGGGTTTTAGTGTGGGTTCTTTCCCACACCGAAAATCACAAGGGAATTTGAACCCTTTAGGACATTGATGTCCAATGATCATAACCCTTAAACAGCCATTAACACACCTTAATCCACCCCTATAAAAGGCTAGTAGGTGCTTTGCAAAATAAACAACCTTTCATACACTTCGTTCACGTGTTTTCATAGCTAAAACAGCACCTCTAGCACTCCATACAAACTCCTTCGGTGTTCTGCTTTTGTTCACGTTCGTTGGAACTTTACTTTGAGTGCTAAACTATTGTTCGAAGTCATCTTATCCTGGGAAACGATCGTTGCAACGCTCCTAGCACCCCGGGAGGCAACGAATACGTTTTAAGGAAATCGTGCGTAGCACGAGCTTTGGCTTATTCTGCTTCATCCCATTTCTTGTTTTTCTTTAAGTCATTTTATTTAATTAATCTTTATTAATTAATTTTCTTTGTTTTTCGAAACACACCCAACAATCTTAAAACGTAATCGTTGATTGTTCTACTACGGTAAACAATCTTAAAACTTGTACTTTGTCACCTTGGTGAACGAACTTGTTTTTTTTTTGTGCTTTCGAATAACGTAAGAAACGAAAAATGACTTCTCAAGAAAATGAAAATGTTGTTGGGCAGAATGCTTTGAACGGTTTGAACGATAATCACTCTGAAAGCGGAGCTCCGGTGAACAATAGTTCACAACGCGATGCATCTGCTTTGGTTAACCAAAGGGCTATCCCTATGGTGACCGTGTCGAGCAACTCTGTGGAGAAACCTGAAAAATTTAATGGGTTAAACTTCAAGAGGTGGCAGCAAAAGATGCTCTTCTATCTCACTACTCTCGGTCTTGCACGTTTCTTGACCGAGGATGCGCCGGTAGTAACCGGGGGTGAGGTGGATGTGCAATCTTTCAACGCGGTTGAGGCTTGGAAGCATTCTGACTTCCTTTGCCGAAACTACGTGTTCAACGGGCTGCATGATGCTCTGTACGACGTGTATAGTAAATTAGCTACGGCTAAGGAGCTATGGAATGCTTTGGACCACAAATATAAGAGCGAGGATGCCGGTGCAAAGAAATTTGTTGTCGGTCGATTCCTTGATTTTAAAATGGTGGATTCGAAGACGGTCTTGAGTCAAGTTGAAGAAATGCAAATGATCTTCAACGAAATTCGAGATGAAGGAATGACGGTTAGCGAGTCTTTCCAAGTGGCGTCAATTATCCATTTATTGCCGCCGACTTGGAAGGATTTCAAGAACTACCTTAAGCATAAGCGAAAGGAAATGAACTTGGAACAGTTGATCCTCCGTCTACGGATTGAAGAGGATGATCGGAAGAACGATGGGAGACTCCCAATCGTTAGCGGCGCCAAGGCCAATGTGGTGGAGCATGCAAAAGGCTCCAAAAATAAAAATAATGGGAAGAGCAAGCTCGGTCCCAAGGGAGGCGTTTCCAAGTCTACCAACAACTTGAATGATAGTGCATTTAAATTAAATACAAATGCTCCTTTAATCTTTTTCCATTTTGAAAGAAACAAATTACATGTGTTGTGGACTAGTAAATCACACATATGTGAAGGCCTTTTAACAGTTTTAAGTCAAGCCATGACTACAAGTTCTACTCAACCACTCATATGAATATCTTTTGAATATTGGAACTAAACTGTGTCCGTCATAAGATATTGTCTTAGCCATTATCCCTATTCACATCTTACAGGACCTATCTGTATGAGAAAACATTATGTGCTAAACAAGGCCTCAGAAGGTGTTCTTCAAGAACAAATAGAGGTTGCTGAGGGACAATTTGTAGTTCATGTAGGAAAAAGCGAAATGAAGCGCTTTGTACTTCTGATATCACACTTGAAAGACTTCCATTTAATGACTTGCTAAGTCAAGCTTAGTAGAATTTGGATATGATCATTCAATAGGAGGAATACAGTAGCTTTCAGGTTTGAGTAGTACGCTAGTAAACCGTGAGAGAATACTAGCATCTCATTTTGTGGAAAAAATTATTAGAAAAGAGTTTCCTTATACAATCTGCAGTACTTTTTTTTTTTAAGTTTTTTATTGATCAGAAGTGGACATATAAATTTTGGAAACCTAGTTTAGAGGGTTACAGTTCTGAAACATTAATATCCATGTAATCAGAAAAGGTAAAAGTTTCACATAGTATTATGTCACTTGTTTTGAAAGTTCAAAGTTGAGAATGAAATTTCAATCAAGTATCACTTAATCCTGAGCAACTTGCAATCAGAAATTTCTCAACACAAAACACTAAGCTTCATAAAAAATGAATAAAAATGAAGCCAAATCGAATGAAAAGTATGAACTGATGAAGATATAAATAATTAATGATAAAATTGTCAAATATTTGACAGTTCAGCTTCTCCGGAACCCTGGACTTTGGTCGACTGCTGCTCTCGTCTGCTCATTTGACCGACCACTACTCTTCGAGTCCTCGGTCTGCCGGAACTGGTTTTTCGAACTGACCAGCTTTTAGATAATTATATCCATCATTTATGATTAATTATTCAGTATAGAGTGCGAGAGGATGTGTACTTGTAAAGTACTATAGAGAATAGTGGAAATTACTTACTTTAAATGTGTGGTGAAGTCTCAGTCAACCTCCCAAAGGGTCTTTAGTGCTATACAAACACATTTGAGCAGTTGAGTTGGTTTTCACCCCACAAAGACCTCAGTTAAACGATTGAATTATTTCCTGCTACTATTGAACAAAAAAGATACCAAAACACTGAAGAAATATGTGAAGCATACTGAAATTTTTCAATTTCAGTAACTGCATATGGAACTGATCTTTTAAGCTGTTGAGGAAATAGGCAAAACCATGTGCTACCTACTGGTTGGTGGTGGGGTTGCTTTGAGCTTCCATCAGAAACCTGTGAAACTGGAGTTTTTCATTTACTACAACATACAATGTGAAATAACATGTTTTGTTTCCTAATAATTTATGTATGTAAACTAAAAGGTAGTGTTTCTGGTAAAGACAGAAGTGGTTAGGATTTCCCTATCTGATCAAGATTCAATGAATCGGCAATGATGTTTATAGAAGACTAATCTGTTATAAATTTCTGCGAAGACAAAAGCATATGTTGATGTCTCTTATCTTGGAAGCTGCCAGATCATCCACGTACATTTATTTAAGCCACTCACTCACCTCCTAATAGATCTATCTATCTACACAAGTATATAACCACCACTGAGTTTGGTATTCTACCCACTCAAAATACCTTCTTCACACAACTCCAAAAACAACCTAAATTAACAAGTAGTTTTCTATAGCTTAAGAAAAGAAACATTCAACCAATGGCACTTGGTATGGCAAAAATTCTGCGTGCTACTAAGCCCAGCCTCAGGAGGTCTTCTTCAAGAACAAACAGAGAAAGCGAGGTTCCAAAGGGTCACTTTGCAGTTTATGTTGGTGAGGGTGAAAAGAAGAGATTTGTTCTTCCTATATCATACTTAAAGGACTCTTCATTCCAAGACTTGCTTACTCAAGCTGAGGAAGAATTCGGATTTGATCATCCGATGGGAGGACTCACAATACCTTGTCCAGAGGCTACTTTCCTGGACATCATCTCTAGCTCGAGTTTGTTATTATAAAATACAGATAGAGATGGCTTAGTTTAGTTTAACCAACCATTTTTTTTTTAGTAGAAGTGTTTCATTGTACAGTTCATTCAGAGAATATACTACAAATTCATACTACAATAACTTCTTGGAACTTTATCTGATTGAGTGATTTCTGATTAGAACACAGTAACTGCAGCTAATAAAGACAGGATATGTAAAACTCTTGTAATTTAAGTCTCTAGTGTCGAAGTTATTGACTGACTTCAAACTTCATTGGTCATACATGCATACATTTATATTAAACAGAAATGTTTAATTTCTTTCAATCCAATCCAGACTTTCTAGAGATCTTTACATTTGCTGCAAATCAATATAAATGATGAGCTTTGAAGCTTATCCAAAATCACATACATGAGGTTATTTTTGGTCATGTTAGGTCTGATTTCTGCTACATTTTAGATGAATTTCGTTTAGAAAGTAATTAAAAAGCATTTTTGGGAAAACCAGTTAAACAGATTATTTCAATAATCAATTATTGTTATAATCGATTATAAAGAGAATCAGTTTCGCTTTTGGAAATGTTAGGTGAAAAGTGCTTTTAAAGTAGTTAGTTTTATTTAAGTGCACAAGAAATAGCTCTTACAAGATACAATAGATTGGTTAACAGATAAACGAAAAATATTCTATTGAAATAATCATACGCTACAAGTTTCTAGCTACAAAAACAGCTTTTGTTTCAATAACATAAGTTGATTACAGATTTCAGCGAATGCTCCCAAAGACAACTTCTTTCCGAAGATATTCTATAATGATATAGTTTAAAAGAGAGCTTATATAATGTAGAATATAAGCTGTGTCCTCAACATGCTACAAATATCAAATTACATATCTATTTTACATTAAAACTATACCATGCAGGACATTTCACTAGTCACTTTTTTTGTAAACAATCTTTATTTAAGTCATAAATATGTAATTATTTCTTTATATATTCATGCACATTGAGACATATTTATATGCATCAACTGTTTATGTATACACCGAGGAGTAGTTTTTTGAGAAAAGATAAGTGGTTTCAGAACATTCCAATGCTTAGTATATGGGGCTTACAAATGAAAGAAAGTGTATTCAATCTTGCAGTTGGGTTACAGCCCTCTGAGATGGGTGATCTGTTCATGATTCCAAGTAACAAGGCCAGGTTTCAGATCAGATTCTCTATTCAAATCAGTTTGAGTTCATGAAGACTCTAGATATGAATGTAAGTTATTTTGTTATTTAGGGTGGGGGATTGTATGTGACTGTGTAAATGTTTTTTGCTCAATTTCGAATATCATGTGATTAAGTTAAAAAAGATGTACTGGGAACGAGAAGGATTGAATAAGTTATATTTTTCTAAACTGACTGACTTTCTGTAAATCTTACAAAATGTATCTCAGCAATGGTTGACAACTGTAAATTGTCAGCAAACAAGGAATTGCTGATTTCTCCATTTTCTTGTAATTGAGAGGAGCAATGCAGTTCCAAGTTCTCTCGTTAAGCATTTGCTAAGAAGTGAGATTATTAGGAGTTGCCTACTAATCTCGTTCTCGAGATAAGAAAGAGGCACTAAAAACCACTTCTGATCAGCCGTGTAGAGGGCAAAATGACTCTCTCTAAATGCAGAGGAATACTGCAGCCATCTACGTCATCATCGGTTAATCTTGGAAACAAAATCCCCTTTTTTCTGATGGCAGCAAATTTCTGCCATCTTTTCGCAAACTTGATGAGCTTCTTTGAAGTTGGAACTAATCATATTGTTTGTTAACTTGATATATAGTCAGTTATTAAATGGAAGAGCAGCTTTAAATCTTGGCTGGACTGAATTTGCAGCGTTTGATGATAAAAATGCATATGGAAGTGGTCTATTTAAGCTCTTGAGGAAATAGGCAAAACCATGTTCAGATGTCCCACCTACTGGTAGGTCTGGCCTCTTTCATTTATTAAAAGAGGATTTGTTATGTATTCAGCGGGATCAGCAGAACCCATAGATTTTGACTGGACGGGATTGCAGTGTTTACTGATTAGACTGCAGAAGGAAAACCCATGTGTTAACTAGACATGTAGGGCCACATAGCTTCAATCAGAAAAATACTTATGATCTGAAGTGTGGCTATATCCACAGACACACAAATTGGGAATCACAACACATGTTTCCCAGTTAATTGGTCTATTCTGGGAAGTTGCCATTCATCTTCATCACCCATTTGACAGGGTCTCCTTGTAGTTGAGCTTTCCCAATCTATTTTTCAGTAACACCAAACTATGTGGGGAATGAAGTGTTAGTCATACCAACCTTCCCATCAGAAACCTAAGGAATCTGGAGTTCTTCCATACACTAAACCATACAATGTGAATCCACATGGTTTGTTTCCTAATAAATAATCCAAGCCACTCACGCAATACACCTCCCAATTTATCTATATATACCACAACTGACGTTTGTATTCTCCCACACTCAAAACACCTTCTACACAAACTCCTAAGAAAGTATCTGCTTCTGCAAACAGTTTCATATAGCTAAAAAACATTCAACCATGGCAGTTAGTATGGCAAAAATTCTGCGTGCTACTAAACCGAGCCTCAGGAGGTCTTCTTCAAGAACACACAGGGAAAGTGAGGTTCCTAAGGGTCATTTTGCAGTTTATGTTGGTGAGGGTGAAAAGAAGCGATTCGTTCTTCCGATATCATACTTGAAGGACTCATCATTCCAAGACTTGCTTAGTCAAACTGAGGAAGAATTCAGATTTGATCATCCTATGGGAGGACTCACAATACCTTGTCCAGAGGCTACTTTCCTTGAGATCATCTCTAGTTAGCTCAAGCTGATATATAAACTATAAAGAATATGGATAGAAAGCTTAGTTTAGTCATTAGCAAACATATTTTTGGGCAGGAATTGTTTTCCAGTGCCCAATTCTTTTTCACAGATTTGCATCTGTTTTTGGGCAGTTAGCATTATATTGTTATTACTGTATAAGAACTTCATAATTCAACCGCTATTTTGCATTCAACTTTTCCTTTTTCATTCATTGATAAACTACAAAATTAAAAGCTAATACGGTGTTGAGTAACAGAAAAATAAAATCAACGGGGTAAACTGTTGCCCAGATCATCAACGATAAAAATACCGTTTCCCAGAGCCAAAAGGCTAAACTCCAAATTTATTCCAAGATAATAAGAATGAACCCTGGCGAGGGGTATAAATAACCTTCTACAAGAAACCCTAATCAAGCCCAAATTAATTAAATCCTAATTAAGCCCATACTAATTCTACCAAGTACACTACTAATAAAAGGCCCAAACCAAAACATAACATTAACTTAATAATGATAATAAATAAACTATAAAGACAGTCATAACCCGGCCCACGGAAGTGGGCGCAAGCCCAGTCCCGCCCCATTATCTTCCCGCTCCCTATCAATCCATCCTCCTTCATAATAACCTTGTCCTCAAGGTTGAAATCTCACAGATGGGGAACTGAAATTTCCAGACATAGAATAGACTGGAAAATATCCTTCCTCTCGTTCCTAAACCCTTTCATGGCCGCTCTTGGAGGTCCAACTCTTCATCCTGCTCAGCTATCATTGCAACTGCTTAAAGAGACAGTCATCCTCCGGTGTAAATAGTTTCTTACACCTAAAGCATAATCCTTTCGCCCTCAATTCTGCGAACTCCTTTGGCGGAAGAAGAGTGAACTGAGAGCGTTTCGTAGGCTGCCCGGACAGCCCTGACTTTGTCCCCGGAGGCTGCCCAATGTCTTTAGGAAAGCTTCCATTCGATCCTCTTAAGCTGCCACCACCTATGGTCGTGTTGTTACTGCCACTTGGGCGCGAAAAACTGCTCGAATGCAAGTTCGTGTCGAAGGGTTGACTTTCCAGTCTCCATCTTGAAAGGACAAGTTATCCTCAATGTCTCTGGCCAATTGCATTGCAATCTCCAAGCTGTTTGGTCGCAGTAATCGTAAGGATCCTCGAATCGGTCCCTTCAGCCCGTTCATGAAATACCCCAAATAATGATACTCGGATAGCCCAAGTCGTCAACGGCACAAAAAGGTTATTGTATTCTTCTATGGTCCGCAACTGTTTGGCCCCGTTCAAATCGGTTACCCTTGAACCGTGAATCAAAACGGGCCACCAAGTGCATCTGTGAATTCCTCCCAAGTCAGGCCCGGTTTCCGCGTCTTCAACCAGGTCAACCAGTACAGGGCAGCCCCTTCCATGGCTACCGTAGCTGCTGCCACTTTCCTCTCATGTAGGGTTTGATTAATTTCGAACTGCTGTTCAACCCTAGCTATCCACCCGATCGGATCTGCGCCGTCGAACGAGTGAAACAAGGTTGTTTCCGTGCTGCGCAAGCCTTCATCGATCACGTGCACAGAAGCGACATGCGCATGAGAGCCGCTGCCGCTGGCTCATGACGGCGTCTTTACTATGCCAATGGTACCCATACCTCAAAATGATGTTGTTTCTTTTAGTTTTCAAAAAAAAAATTAAGCCACAGCCGCGACGTGCACTTCTGTGAAAATACTTCTGTGCAAAATAAGGCAGTGTAAGGTGTAATCATTTTCATATATGGTGTAAAAACGGGTTAAACATGTGTGACTGTCGTTAACTACAAAAGTATTTACTCACTCCGTCACAAATAGAGGAACATATATATTCATTGCCAAAGAGGAATATACATTCATTGGTCGGCAGACAGTATTCCTATTTTTCTTTGGTTAACTGATTATTTAGGTTTTTAGATTATAACTGAAAAAACTCTATAAATATAAATATGAAGTGGGCAGAGGTGGGGCAGCCATTTTAGGACCAGAAATTGAATTCATTTTTAATTAATTGAAGAAAGAATATAATAACTAAGATGTAATCATCCTATGAAGGTATGGCACTAAGATGTAGTTCAAATTTATTTGTGTATATATATTTCTTGAACTTATCTTACCTCAGGGAAACAAAATGGATATGTATGAAGGTTAAAGGAAATGAGTAGAAATGGCAAATGAAAACATTCTGGTTTGGTTTTGTGTTCGAAATTCCAAGTTAATAAAAAGCTCATTGCAACTTTTAAAAAAATATATATAAGTAAAAATGTATGAACAAATATCTTAGTTATACTTCTTTACATGTCTTTTCCCGGGTTCAAATCATACCGAAAACAATGCACACAAAAAGAGAAAACAGGTCTTTACGCAAAGTTTGCAGGAGAAGATCTAAGGGCTGTAGTGGGCTGAAGTCGAGGGCAATTCAAGTTTTCCCAACTTTTTTAAATGTATTTTTTTTTTTCAAATTTAGTCCATCCCGTTAATATTTAAGTTCAATATAATTACTATTCAGCCCAATTAAACTCATGACTATAGGAGTATAGGTATTAGTGATGGCTAAAGTTCCATGTTAGGCTTTCACCGAAAGATGCCAGCTTAGCATAGAGGACTTACAAAACATGAAAGAAAAGCGAGTTATGAATGTAGAATTTGTGAGTCTGTTCGAAAATTGGATTCCAAGTACTCAAACTAGGAGTGGGCATGAAAAACTGGAACCGATTAACTGTGTTAAATAACCGGAAAACCAGTGTTTTTTGGTTAGTCATACCATGTTTTTAAAAACGTGTATAAAACGTTTGGGTTACGATTTTGAAATTAAATAAAACGGTTTGGGTTACGATTTTGAAATTAAATACTGCAGGTTTACCAATAATCCAAAGTTAAGATATTACTCCAAATTCGTGTCACAAGCGACCTTTAGCCGGAAATGTTTTCTCCGTTTATCGCAGACATACACACATATATATACACACGCACACACACACACTTGAAAATGCTCTGTTTCGTATATTTGTTTCAAGACAATAAAATACCTCTCATTGCTCAAACATGTACTAGTAAATAAAATCATATTTGCATCATCCACATCACATGCCACTGTAGTGGCTTAGTACCGTTTAGAATCATACTCTACTTAGCTCATATTGGTTTCAGCTTGCTGGATCTCCTCATACTTGCCAGTTTCTTCATCATAGGAATACCATTTTCCTGAAGCAGCATTGCAATACAGTCCTGATGAAGGGTCGTAATAGTAGCCCAAATTGATGCTATAGTAATAGCCAGATGACTCATCATACACATAGTCATTTACTCATTTTCCTGACCACCCTCATTTGAGGCATGGTTAGTAGTAGTCAGAGGGGTTCCCTCATCCTCAGTGAACATGTCATAAGAATCATCCTCACTGTTGCCTATAAAAGTGGATGCATTGGCATTTGATGGACCTTCTGTGGGAATAAAATCGTCATCAAAGACACTAGAAGTATTATTCTTCAACTCCATAGATGTACCCAGTGCTTTGGCTTGAGTTAGCCTCTCATATCCCTCTGCTTCACGCTGGAAACTCTCTTGCCTTTCGTCATAGACATTGTAATAGCCATTCTCTATCAGCTTCATGGCATGTTCTGTTAGCTTATCAAAAACCAGTTTCTTTTCCGTTGTCATTTTCTCCTTGTTTTTTGAAGTGCCTTTTAACCTCCTTAGTGCTTGCAAAACTGTCTCCCCGGCCCCGGGATCAAGAACATCAGCAATTCGCCTCTTCATCTTCCCGAGCTCTTCATCTTCCCGAGCTCTTCTGATGTAAGTTCGGGTGCCTCATCTTCTATGGTTGCAAGTTTTTCCTTCCCAGCAGCTTTTGGATGAACATCAATGCTATCAAGCCATGCATCCTTGACATCACGTTCATGAGCATATTCAACATAGTTCTCATTGGCATCAAAATAACCTTCTTCCCTCTCTTTTGCAAGATTAAAAGGTTAAATCTGGATTCCATCATCAGTGAATGATTCATCTTCCTCATAAATCTCTTCAGCTAGCTCAATGTTGGGAATCAATCCTCTACTTTCTTCCTCAAGGAGTTCAGAGGTGATTTTATTTCTGCGCATTGCACGCTCTCTTGCTGCAAGACGGGGATTCAATCCACTAGGTAATTCTTCGTTTCTATTCCCGGCGTAATCCCCATGCTTTAACTTTTTTCCTTTAGGGAACCTTAACCTCTTTTCCCCAGAGGGGTTTTCGGAGCCATCATCTCCGGAGTCCTTGAAAGAACGCTTGCGAGATCGCGATGGTCCTCCTTCCATAGCAATATAGGCGGGACTTCGAACACAGCTAAAGTGTTGACCAGTGACGGTAAAGAAAGTATGGATTCGAGATGAGAAAAATCTGTGAACCTGTTCTAATGGATACGTGAAGGCAACAAGGCTGCGGCTACCAGCGATTTCTGGGCGAACTCACTCAAAATCTGGCTATATTGTTTGTTAACTTAATATATAGTCTGTTATTAAACGGAAAAACATCTTTAAATCTTGGCTGGACTGAATTTGCAGTGTTTGATGATAAAAATGCATATGGAAGTGGTCTATTTAAGCTCTTGAGGAAATGGGCAAAACCATGTTCAGATGTCCCACCTACTGGTAGGTCTAGCCTCTTTCATTTATTAAAAGAGGATTTGTTATGTATTCAGCAGGATCAGCAGAAACCATAGATTTTGACTGGACCGGATTGCAGTGTTTACTGATCAGGCTGCAGAAGGAAAACCCATGTGCTAACTAGACATGTAGAGGGCCGCATAGCTTCAAATCTTCAATCAGAAAAATACTTATGATCTGAAGTGTGGCTATATCCACAGACACACAAATTGGGAATCATAACACATGTTTCCCAGTTAATTGATCTATTCTGGGAAGTTGCCATTCACCTTCATCACCCATTTGACAGGGTCTCCTAGTAGTTGAGCTTTCCCAATCTATTTTTCAGTCCCACCAAACTATGTGGGGAATGAAGTGTTAGTCATACCAACCTTCCCATCAGAAACCTAAGGAATCTGGAGTTCTTCCATACACTAAACCATACAATGTGAATCCACATGGTTTGTTTCCTAATAAATAATCCAAGCCACTCACTCAATACACCTCCCAATTTATCTATATATACCACAACTGACTTTTGTATTCTCCCACACTCAAAACACCTTCTACACAAACTCCTAAGAAAGTATCAGCTTCTGCAAACAGTTTCATATAGCTAAAAAACATTCAACCATGGCAGTTAGTATGGCAAAAATTCTGCGTGCTACTAAACCGAGCCTCAGGAGGTCTTCTTCAAGAACACACAGGGAAAGTGAGGTTCCTAAGGGTCATTTTGCAGTTTATGTTGGTGAGGGTGAAAAGAAGCGATTCGTTCTTCCGATATCATACTTGAAGGACTCATCATTCCAAGACTTGCTTAGTCAAGCTGAGGAAGAATTCGGATTTGATCATCCTATGGGAGGACTCACAATACCTTGTCCAGAGGCTACTTTCCTTGAGATCATCTCTAGTTAGCTCAAGCTGATACATAAACTATAAACAATACGGATAGAAAGCTTAGTTTAGTCATTAGCAAACAGATTTTTTGGGCAGGAATTGTTTTCCGGTGCCCAATTCTTTTTCACAGATTTGCATCTGTTTTGGGGCAGTTAGCATTAGATTGTTATTACTGTATAAGAACTTCATAATTCAACCGCTATTTTGCGTTCAACTTTTCCTTTTTCATTCATTGATAAACTACAAAATTAAAAGCTAATACGGTCACTCTAAATAAAATTTGTCTCTCCAGGTAAAAAATTTACAAGTGTTGCAAAACAGTAAATATGAGAAAAATTGTCCAATGGTATAAGTGTATTTTATAAATAAATTCTCCTCTTGGAGTTCATTAGTTTAAGTGTTTAACCAAACATTTGGGAAAATGAGAGGATCAACGAAAAATTGTTATGAACCCGCCCTAAGCCTCTCCTTTTGCCGCTTTCTGCGATTAGCTTCAGGGATGGGTGTAGTGGTGGGTGTCACTAGAGGTGGAGCCAGAGTATTGGGTCAGATTGGACCAATACAAAAATATTTTGTGCAAATTACCCGTATAGTCCAATTTCATGGATTGCGTATCATTTATGTCCCTGTTGCTTTCTCTTTTCATTTTTAACTTTTTTATTTTCAATTTTAGTTTTTTATTTCACTTTTAACCATCCCCTCCGTTACATACATTTAAACCTCCTCCTTCCTCTCCAACTCCCTTCTCCTTTCTCATCTTGCTAAATACCACAGAATCTGCCCATCTCCGCATCTGTTATAATCTGAGCAATTTAATTCCTAGGAGCTATCATTCACATGACATCAGATGGAGCTATCTTCCAAATTGCGATCAGAGCATTGAGTTCATCGGCCACAACACTTTCCAGGATCGATCGATCTCTTATGGAATCGATCATTTGGAACTAAATCAAAGGACCGATAGTTAGAATTCATGTATTCAATCGCACACTCTAGCTAGGTGATTCTGTAACTCATTGGAGGCGGAGGCAGTTTGTCGGTAATCTTAGGGGCTGGAATCCTTTGGCGTTGTCTTCCGTAACTGAGACTCGAAGGAGTGCAGCAGTAAAAGGCATGCGTGTAGTTTATAAATCATTATGTCTGATTATCAATCTAGCTTATAAACCGTTAAAATTTTGAAAAAACTTCGGATTCTTTGGACAATAGGACAAACTAGGTAGTAATTGTCTATTGAATATCGCTTGTTTTAATTTCTCCCAAAGTTTACTTGTGTATCTGAATTAATTTAACTGATACTAGGGTTCTTTTGGAGCTAGCATTCTTGGTGAGGCTCTACTCAACCTTGCTGAACATGCTGATGCTTCAAAGCTTTCCATAGTTGCATTAAATCTTCATAAATGTGATACAGGAGCTATTTTACGGGTAAGTAATTGTGATTCTCCAGAATATTTCTTATTTTAAGAAAAAAATAAAAAAAAAATCATTTACTTGTAGGGCTTGTGTATCTTGGAAGGGAAGTGGGAGGCAATGTGTTTGATATATTAATCTTTTGTTCATCTTTATACTCAATGTTTTCTGGTTTGTTGTTTCACTATAGGAAGTTGTTATGTATTTATTGATTCTTTGCTTATAACATTGTTGACTTGACAAAGTTAATGCCTAGGCTTCTAGCTGTCCATTTTGCTTCCGGGAGCATTTCCAACCTTGCTGATGCCCCACTTATGATGTTGTCGCGTAGTATGGGGTCTTTCTGTGTTAATATGTATTCAATTGCTTTGCCCCTTGCAAGAAAATGAGAAATTGTGCATGTCCTGAAGAACTACAATAACCCACACGTTCTGGCCCAAGATTTGTGTGCAAACACTTAAAATTATAAATTTAGATTTATGAATATATAAAAAAAACTAGAAACAAAAATAAACAATAAAAATGAAATATTTAGAATTATCAACAAAAAGAAACAAAAATTCAAATAATAGCTTGAACTATATATTTGTTGTGATACTCTTATAGGTTATTTTTTGTTTCCTTTTGTTTCGTCTTACATGTTACTTATTGGTTCATTGTGTTGTTTTTTGTTGCATTGTGTTGCTTTTTAGTTCATCATATTGTTTGTTTGTTTTTCGAAATTAAATTTTAGTCTCTTTAGGTATTTATTCATCTCTGGTACTTCTTTGAAATTAAAAAACATATAAAATATATGTATATTTATATGTTTGCAAAAAAAATATATACAAACACCTAAAATGATAAAATTGGATTTATAATTATCAGAAACAAGAAGAAACATGAAGAAACAGTAAAAAAAAATTATCAACAAAAAGAAACATAAAGAAACAATATGCTAAAAAATTAAAAATAAGTTAAAAGTAATAATAGTGGTGTTTGATATTTATTTCCTATAGATTTTAATATTTTTTACTCTTTTTAGAAATTTCTGTTTTACATTTTATTCATTTCTTACAAATTTTCTACATTTCATACATTTTAATTTTTGATATTTATTTTCTATAGATTATAATATCTTTTACTCTTTTTAGTATTTATTTTATATTCTTAGACTTTTAAAAGTTTATTATAAATTGTGCTTTGTTTAATTTTTTGTAAATTTATTTTACATTTGATATATTAATCAACATTTTATATTTTTCCCTCTGTATCATTTTGTTTCTTCATTTTTTGAAGTTTTTCTTACTCCACATTATTTTTATATAATTTAATATCTTCATTCTTTTTATATTATGATATATTTATATTATACGAAGTAAAATACTTAAGATTTTAGATTATTTTAATTTTTAATTTTTGTTTGTAAAATCCTTATTTCCGAAACTTTTTTCTAATTGTTTGCATTTCTAAATTTGAAAAAAAATATACACTACATATTTTTTACATTTATTTTATTTTTATATTCTTTTTTACTGTTTTTTGCTAATTTTTATTGTCTTCCCAATTCCCAGACTTTATAATTTTTCAGTTTTGTATAATTAAACATTTCATTTTTGTAAAAATATAGAACATCTTTACATTCTGAACATGAGAACAATTTTTCATGTTATAGTGTTCAATAAGAGTAAATGATGAAGCTGTGTGACCGAGTATTAGTTAGTGAGTGGGGTCAAATGTTTTTCTTGTATGTAATTAAAATGCGTGATCGGAGTATTACAGAGTCTAGTGTTTAGGCGTAATTGCGTAAGTCTATTATTGAAAAATAAACTTCAACTTAGTCTATTTTTGAAAAAGCTTTAAAAATGAAAAAAACTGATATTATTTTCAGTTCGAGCCCATTTCTGAAAAATTCCCAAATATTTTTGGAATAGCGGATGGGCATCTACACTGGAATTTTAACTTTTAAAATTTAGGCATTTTTTAAATTTGGGGTAGGACAGAGTCTGACCCTCCCCTAGCTCCGTCCCTGGTGTCGACTTATCTAGGGCTCTTCATGTAACACCGTCCCCAAATGTATTTACCTTTAAGCGAATAATTTATTGAACCTTATGAAGTTTTTAGTGAATTTACGAAGTTGTGAATTTGTATTATATTTTTTCGCGTGAATAGTAAAATGCACGTGGGGCCCACATCGGGAGTGGGGACCGCCCGATATTATCGGGGCCACATATTATATTGATCTTGGACTAGATAATATGTATATGGTGGTGAATATCCTAGTTGAGCCATGACAATGGCATAGGATTGACCGGTTGGTCAAACGGGGCCAAATTATCAGTATCGGCAATCTATCAGATAACAGCCCGAAAAGGGATTTCGGAGACTTCTAAATTAAAGTTGAGGGATGCATATTGATTCTAAGGTCCATTAAGAAATGGGAACAAGTGTTATATTTTATTTGACCCGATAAAATAAAATATACTTAAAACAGCCCGGAAAAATACAACTTTCGGGGCAAATTACACACTTTGGGACAATTAGGATGACCTCCCACATGGGTGGGGGCCACCCCACGAAATTGTCAACCCTTGAGGGCTGGATGAGTGCCAAATTGGCTGAACAACAAT